AGGCTAATTAATGATGACATCATACTAAAACAGTGGAGTGATGGTGGGCCAATGGGGAAGGGAGAACAATCAAGGGTCAGCAGTGTGGAACATAGAAAAAAACACACACAGAACACACACTGGGACGTAACAAATACTGAGCAGATTAAAATGTGCACAGTAAAGAGATTAAATGATTAAATCTTTTCACTACCGTCCAATGTATCACGAGTGCTCCTGTCGGTCATTTTGGACAGCCAATCACTTACCCGAAACCCGAAACACTCGGTCTTTGGTGTCTTCTAATGCCCTGGCTAACCTTCACTAACTACCCAAAACCATACAAGACAAACACCACTCACCTGTCCTAAACTAATGTTACTAATATAGAAATCAACTATGTGTGCAGAATATACCCAACAACCTTAACTAACCCTTAACACAAAAGTTCACACAAGTACACAAGTGAACTACGAATACAAAAAGGGAAAGCGAGTGTAGACAAGGAATAGGGCACAAAAGAGCACAGAGGTTGATATGACACGTTTGGGCAAGGTAATGGTGAAATACAGAATAAACTAAACAAAACATGGGCACGCACGAGGATGTAACAATATTTCTAACTGTGTAATGTTGTTTTTGTAAAGTTACTCTCTTTTTTAATTAATTCAACATTTAAAGTACTGTAGTATACAGTTGAAAATTAATAAAAGTCTTAACAGTATAAAACTTAAATTCTATAATTGGAAAAAGATTGTCCCTGAGCTTTGACCGGGATTCAAAATCAGGCATTCCCTGGCAACAGCCCCAATGCTTCTAACTGTCATGTTGAGCTTTCACTTGGCAGTTTTACAAAGCAGTGCAGTCCCACAACATAGTATTTTTAAAAAGGTGCTGTAAAACATAGTATGTGCATTGCAAAGTACTGCATTATCCCCATGCATTCCGAATGGATCTGTATATTGTTTTTTTACAATTAATTCCTGGTAGCCATAAAGGCACTTTCTCAATTTAATCTTCTGATTTCTTATAGTTTCAGTAAATTCAAACCATCTCAATACTGTACCATGCATAGTGAAGCTCTAATGCCAGTAACATCCTTAAATCCTTTTAATCACAGAGTCAGGATGAATGTGTAAGACAGAAGCAGATTGATTTGCTGTCTGATGGTACAGAGTACTTATAAGTGTCTGTGTGAATAGCTGTCCTGTTTTTTTTTAAGTGTCTTAACGCAAAAACACCAGTCCCAAATAGAGCAAAATTGTGTGTATTATCTGACAAACATTTATTTAATCCAAAACTGAAAGATGTACTTCAGGCAACAAAAGGATGCTCCTTTTTCTGAATGTAACACTTACAGGAGTATCCTGTGTTTAATTTGTGCCGGAGTTCACCGGAGTTCATCGGAGTGCACCTGTTTTTCTAGAAACTGTCCACACTCTGTGATCTCCAACACGACC